TAAACAACTATATTTTTATGACGAAGTGCTTTCGGTTACCCTTCTAAACTCAACTTAAATTGTAACTCGCTATATCCTCCTCCTTTTGGTTATAGTCTAATATATGAAGAGAAAAAGTCCAAGCTTTAGAAAATTGGTTCCACTCCACCTTATTTGATTTTTGCAATCGAAGTGCTTGGTTCGATTCTATTTTTTTAAACGAGTTTCTTTATTCACATTTTGGGGGTTGTTTGATAATTTTTTTATATATAAATTTTTTAACAGATTTTAATAAAAGAATGATAAAATATGTCAAAAAATTGATAAAAATATGTGTCTTATAAAATGTGTGTTTAAAATTGAAATTTGATCAGTTGAATGGTTTATAAACCTTCACTAAGATTTTATCAAACAAACACTATGCTCGCTCTAATTTTTTAAAATTTATTTTTTCCCAGATTGATTTATTCATTTTTTTTAATCAAAATCTACAATTTTGTTATGTATCCAAACCAAATAGAGGCTATATGTCTTTTGCAAAAAAAAAAAATAAAAAAAAATCATCATTTAAGAAAAAAGTATATATATTTTTTTCATTTCACCCCCTAAAATCTAAATAGACCTTTTAAAATATTTTTTTTCTTAAAAAGTATTTACATGAGTTTCTTTATTCATGCTATCTATGATTTCGTAAAAATTAGTTTAAATGGTTTAGTCTTCATTTAGCAAGTTTATAAACGATTTATTAGGTGAAATAGTAAGAGTTGTATTAGTCGATTTCATAAAATGTATGGATAGGTAGTTATGAGCCCATGTTTGACATACATTATTTCAAAATTCATTTTCAACCATACATTTTTAATAAAATAATATATCTCACACATCAATAAATTTTTCTTACTTTTTAACCGCATATTTTCATTATATCACAATTTAAAATATATTATTTTTTCAATAATATCCATCAAACACACTCTGAATGTATGGTTGAAATTAATTTTTTTCTTTGACTATATTTTAATTTATAAATTGGCTTGCCAATAGAGGTTTATAATACAGAGTAATGTTATTTAGTACTATTGAGATTATAACTCAATTTAAGTGGCGTTAATGTGACATTAAATGATATGTGAAATCAAATAAGTCATTTAATTTTATCTTTCATTTAGCCTCTCATCTAACGTCACCTAAATTGAAATTGTAATTCTAGTAGAGCTACATAGCATTGCTCTATAATATACATAAATAGACGAAAGTGAATGATAGACAAGTAAATGACACAATTCAAATGTATTCTTTTGTCTTTAGAATAATGTTATTTTGTTAGAAAGTAACTGACATAATAAGTGTTGATAAGATGTGATTGAATAAAAAAAATAGACTTTATTTTAAGGATAAAGATGTTTGTACATAATTTAATGTATCGAATTGTTTAGCTCCTCTCACATCCATGCGGGCTTCGCATGAATAAAAAAATTTCAAGATGTGGTCCCCACCCCCCGTTGTGAGTAGTCGGTAAGGGATTAGGTAAAAAAAATTGGTACATATAGTATGATCCTTATTTTAAACAGTTTAATAATAAATTGATTATGTCTGGGTAACGATTTGTTTCATCTAAGGCTCTAAAATTTAAGTAGACCCTTTAAAATAATTTTTTCTTAAAAAATATTGATGACACCTGTCAAGGAAGGGCATTAAGGTATAGTTGGCTCTCTACTTGGGTGTCTTCTCTAGCCGTGATCGCCTTTTTCATCGTCGACTCAGATAACTCACTCTCCGATCTTCTTAAAGATCCGATCCGAGTCTTCCATCTCCGGTCTCAGTAGGCTCAATTTTCCTCACAATTTTTATTTTTTGGGAGATTTCAGGATAGAATGAAATAGGTTTTAGGGTTTTCCCCTAAATCATTGTATTTTCAGCACATGAATATTTATGGGTTTATTATGCTATATTGTCCAAATTACCTGTTCTATGATTGTTTGTCTTCAAGTGCAAGTAGAATAGAGCATTAATTATAGATGAAAATTTGTTGAAGGTTTTTTCCATTTCAGGTTTTGGATTGGATCGGGGTTGAATCGCTATGGTAAAGTTTTGTAACTAGCTTATATGATTTCCTGCGTCTTTTTCCTTTTTCCCCCGCACTGCTACACTGATTATTATTATTTAAAATCTTTATGGGGGGTTTTGAACTTCTGCCTACAGAATTTTATAATTGGAGCTTTTAAGCCCGCTTGCCACATTTCAGTTACATTTTCTGATGGGAAGTCCCGAAAGCAGGTATACTCATTGTCACAGTTTTACAATTTTTTTATTGGTGGGCATTGACTGTATATTCAAATGGGAGGCATATACTGATATACAAAATGCAAGCTTCTGTTTTTGTTCATTTGTGTAGGTGGTTATTTTTTATGGAAATAATTTACAAAATTTCAGTTCTCTGTATGGAAGATATGGTCTATACAAAGGCAATATGGGGGATTGGTGCATGGCAAGCGCTGTGGGGGGGGGGGGG